CCCAACTCTCTCAGCCTGTCCTCATAGGAGAGATGCTCCAGCCCTCTGATCATCTTCATGGCCCTCCTCTGGACCCACTCCAACAGCTCCATGTCCTTCTTATGTTGGGGGCCCCAGACCTGGATGCAGTACTCCGGGTGGGGTCTCAACGATGATCAAGGGACTGGAACATCTCTCCTATGAGGAAAGGTTGAGAAAGCTGGGACTGTTCAGCCTGGAGAAGAGAACGCTCAGGGGTGGAAAATCTCATCAATGTATAGAAATACCTGAGAGAAGGGTACAAAGAAGATGGGGCCAGGCTCTTTTCAGCATTGCCCAGTTATAGGACAAGAGGCAATAAGCACAAACTGAAACACAGGAGGTTCCCTCTGAACATCAGGAAATGCTTTTTATCTGTGAGGGTGACCGAGCTCTGGCACAGGCTGCACAGAGAGGTTGTGGAGTCTCCATCCTTGGACATATTCAAAAGCCATCTGGATAATGGTTGTGGGCAACTGGCTCTAGGTGGCCTTGCTTGAGCAGGGGGGTTGGACCAGATGACTTCCCTTCCAACCTCAACTATGCTGTGATTCTGCAACAGCAAATAAATGGAAAAGGTGGTCTGAAAAGATTGATCCCGTTGAGATTGTAAACCACCATTACAGGCGCAAAATAAATGGCAGCTTCTTCTCTACTGGCATTGCACATAGCTCCAGGAAGAAGACTGATGATGGATCTAATCCTTTGGTTCACAAGAAATTCAGGATCATTCTAGGGAATATATAGACAGGTGGCCAGTGTCTTCTGAAATCCAGAAGTGGTTCATTAATTTGAAGACACACAGGGGACTTAAGAATGGCCTTGCAGAATTCTGATGAATACAGCTATGAAAAGGAAAACAAAAAATAAAAAATAAGGCCTTACCACAGTACAGCACCTAGCAGCACCCCAGTTCAGTCCACTGGGTCTAACCACCAGGGACACACATATATCACAATGCAGTGCTGTGGATAGACACCTGAGCTAGCCTGAATAGCATAAGAAAAGTGCAGTACTCTGCCTGGGATCACTCAGCTTCTCATGAAAGCTGTAATTGGTACAACTATTTAGCTTCTACTCTAAAATGCAGAACTTGGAAAAAAGTGCCATGAAGACAGCTCCCTCCCTGCCAGGGAGCTCTTAGGGAAGTTCAGTTACGCACATGACTCTTGGACCAGTTAGACTGGCATAATAACTGCAGTTGGAATCTGAGTACGTACGTGTTCACACACGGCCTGATACTGCCAGAAAAGCACACACCATTTTTGTTTTATCCAGTTGTCTGTCTCTGGCTGGAGAGCAACCACAAAGGCATTTCTGAAGGATTTTCCAGAAGCTACCTCAGGGGTGTTATCTTCCACAGAGAGTAAGATGGAAGGGGGGAAGGCAGGGGGAGGAGGCAGGGGGCTACACCGCCCTCTATGTTCTCATCTGGAATCTTACTATAAAAAGCTTTTTCTTACACACCTGAAGAGAGAGAGGTCAACACTGATACATATTTGAAATACAGCATAACTGTTGGCATCTATTATCCCTTTAATATTATCCATTACATAGAAGAGTAAAATGCTCTCACTTGCAAAAATATCAGAGCATTTGATTTATCACAATTAATATTTAAATAGCAATTAATCACAAACTATTAAGGCCAAAATCACACATGAACTATAAAATCTACTATACAGTAGATGTTCTAAGCACGTTAAAGGGCATGAACAGCCTATTATATATTATCACAGTAAGTGTTCATGTGGCTGTGATGATCTATGGACACAGGCAAAACCTTTAGCTTTAACCACACTTTGCTGTTATTCCATTATTATAACTACCTGAGATGACTGATGGACAATAACCACCCATAGCTTGAAACTGCAGAGTTTTCACAACTATGTATAAAAATTAACCATGCACTTAAAATCTATTATTTTATTAACTTTTTACATAACATGCATTTAAATTGTTGTCCTGGTTTCAGCTGAGAGGGTTCATTTTTTTTTCTTTTTCACAGTAGCTAGTATGGGGCTATGTTTGCATTTGTGCTGGAAACAACGTTGATAATATAGAGATGTTTTTGTTATGTGCACCTGTTGTTGAGCAGTGCTTACACAGAGCCAAAGCCTCTTCTGCTTCTCGCACCACCTTGCCAGTGGGACGGCTGGGGGTGCACAAGGAGTTGGGAGGGGACATAGACAGGACAGGTGACCCAAACTAGCCAAAGGGGGTATTCCATACCAGGTCACATCATGCTCAGCATAAAAGGGGGGCTAGCCGGGGGGGGCAGTAGCAGCTCCAGGACGCGTGGCTCGGGGACAGTCCAGTTTCGGGACAGGCCCGAGCGTGCGGTCTGAGTTGTATGGTCCTCGG